ACCCGAAGGGTACTCTGCACCTCTTGGGCCACTGCCAAGTCATCACCAGCTGATGACGACTGCCCGCTGGAGGACTCCACATCTGAAAGACTCTCAGATTGAACCGGGACCTCCTCCGATACGTTTTGCGAATCACTCTCAGAGGACATGATTAGAAGGGGTTGAAGATGTCGAAAGAAGGGGGCTATTCGAAAATTCTGGCCGAAGACCTCTAAGGTAACTAAACACTAAATCTAAGAGACTGGCAAAGTATGCTGAGAAAATCAAAGGGCTAAGGAAATACTGACCTCAAAGGTTGGTTTTGATCGAAGGGGTTACTTTCTCTCTCTAGAAAAATTGGCAGAGCTCCGCTATGACTCAGAAACGCACAAGAGGAAATGGCATTTAGCAAGGGGTATTTATAGGCTTATGTCCCCGAAATATGGGCCTCGATTTGAAAAGCCCATCATTGCGGGCCGCCGGTTCGACCAATGGATGGTTCCCGCCCACCTTCGACCAACAACAGCCGGCCACGTCAACCCCTCTTCCAACGGCTATATCGTAACGGCTGTATTTCACAAACACCGGAGTGCTCTCGAAGGATGGCCTCCGGCTATCACTCACCACAGCCTTCAGCCAATGAATTCCAACATAGCGCCTTCGAGCTAGCAGCAATAAGAGCCTTCGCTTGTCAATGTTGCCACTCCTCGACGCGTATATTGGATGATAGCCCCCGGCCACCACCTGCGAGAGGCTTCGAGCAGATACTGGTATATGCTTTCGGCTACCCCCTCGGGGAACCCAATAACACATTATAACTCCTTCAACCCGAACTCGCCTTCGGCCTAAAGGAGTGGGGGACTGGGACACACCCCACGGGAATCACACTTGCGGAAATGAAGCAGCCCTCGTCACAACACATGCAGGCAATACATCTATGCTTTCCTCAGAAAGCCCTCGACATGTGAGGGACTGAGGGGAGGCCCCGGCAAACATGCGAAGATCATGAATACCTTCCCTCAGAAAACCCTCGACATGTGACGAACTGAGGGAAGCCTTCGGCGATCAGCAGAAGGCAAGTTCTCCAGCAAAGGCACCCAGCGAAATGATGAAGCCTTCAGAAGAAGCAACACATCTACTCCTTTTCCCTCAAGTACCTTTCGGCAAAAGGAGTGAGGGACTCCTGATGGAGTATATGGCCCAGGAACCCCCGGCCCATAGACTCCTATTTCTCCTACACAAGTCCATTGAGCTCAGGAAACAACTCAGGCCCAAATACAACGGCCCAAGCCTCAAAGTAGCCCAGAATGCACACTGGGGTGCCTTCGGCCTCCTTGGCCGAAGGCTCCAAAACTCACAGGATAGCCTCCTCTGGCATAAGAAGCTGCTGGGAGAAAACGGGCGAGGGCATGAGCCTTCGGCATTCTCATGCCTTCGGCACCAGGGGAAGCCCTCGGCTACACAAGGAGCCCTCGGCTACACAAGGAGCCTTCGGCTGAACAAGGAGCCTTCGGCTGAACAAGCTCAATCATCGAAGATTCCTTTTAGAGACAGCCAACCACCGCATTTAATGCCACGTCGCATCCGCCAACCGCATTCAATGCGGTTGACGTACCACTGCCGGTGCCACCAGGCTGATGTGACCCTTCGGCCGTTGGATTACTGACACGTGTCCTCTCATCGCATTTACTGCTGCTATAAATAGCAGCCCATTTCTCCTTGTAAAACATGATCTACATCCCAACTCCACACGCTGAGTTCATTTAATAAAATCGACTCTCTCTCCTCCTATTTACTCTGACTTCTCTCTAGTTGTTCCCGCAATAACCCCTCGGATAAGATACCCCCCGGGTAGACTATCCATCATTAAGATTTTATATGCTTCTAGCTATATTAAAATAAAATAGTCAGTTTGAAATAATATGCATTTTTAATTAATAATGCGGGAACTATAATGAGGATAATTATAAATCTAGCTGAAAAGTATACTCCATATAAAAAAAGTCTCATGAGATAGCCTAATACTACGTAGTTCTTTATGGATTATAGTAGACTGATTTCAGTGTCAATCTCGAATTTGATCAAACCAGATCAGAGTATATTGGTCCTTATCAGACTTAGTCAATAATAAATTCACATAGAATAGATATTTACCATATCAAATGATATCATATAAAAAAATTAGTCCTATGAAAAACATCTTTAATCAAATTTTAAAGAGGTTATATTTTAATCACACATGTTATATTTTTTCCACAGTTAAACAAAACAACGGTTTTTTTAAGGTATTTTTTCTAGACCAATACTGTGAATGTAATTGTTTTAATAATCAACATATGGTATTCTTGATTATTTTAATAAACATAACAATGTTTAGTTTCTATTTTGTAGTTTCTATTTTGTTTTTAAAAAGCTTCTATTTCAAAAATATCAATTTCAAAGTAATTTACTGATTGGTACCACATATATTAACCACTGCTATGATTTGTGCGAGTGTCGTAACTGATGATCAGAGAGGACGAAAGTGCTTACATGTGATTTGTAAGGGCGAAAAGGCTGAGAGACAAACAATGAATGTGATGATGCTCGCCGATCATTGGGGATGAGAAGGTTGAGAAGGCTATGCCAATTCAGCATAGATGAGATTAGGGCTCGGGAAAGTATTTTATACTTGGGTTTTGGGTTGAGTTTGGGTTGTGGGATTTTGTTCTCTAGACATGTCAACTACTAAGGCTCTGTTTGCAAGTGATTGTGCTTAAATAAAAGCACTTTTTGGGAAAAAGTGATTAGTAGTAAAAGTTGGTAGTGTTTGGTAAAATAAGTGTTTTTTGTGTAATAGAAAAAGTAAAAAGTAGATTCTACACGAAAACCGAGAAAGTAAAAGTTGGTATTGTTTGGTAAAATAATTGCTGTTTTCTTAAGAAAAAGCCAAAAGCACTTAAATTAATTGTTTGCAAACAAAGCCTAAAAAGATTTTAAAAAAGATGTTTACTGCAGAGTATTTTACATGAAATAAATTTTCATGACATCGTAAATAAATATTTTTTTGTAAAATAATCGGTATGACGGTGGTTTGATGATATTTATATGTGACATATGGAAAAATACCACCATAACGTCCAATGTTGTATTGAAGGATGTTTTTCGAAATTTGTAAAGCATTTATAACATTCATCTTTTAAAAAACTTTTATTGTGAAAATATTTTATTTATTTCTTTTTTGCTAGATGTATATTTACAATTCATATTACTATATTACGAAATTTGAGTTCTTTTGTACTAAAATTAAATTACATGTATTATTCATATTATTCAGAAACCTACTTTTGATATGAGAATTACACTTCCCGTGCATCGCACGGGTATAATACTAGTTGGGAGAAAGGGAAGATTTTTCTTTGATTTGGTCTGCCCAATGGGCTGGCACTGGCCCAGATTATTTTTCCATTCGGCCAGCTGATATTTTTGTTATTCTTTTAATATACTAGGCCCCAGATTATATATTTTTTTATCGTCAAAGTGCTTTAAATTAATAAAATAACATTCAGCAGGGGTACAAGATAACAAAAGGATCACATGCAACCATCCTCTCTTGGCCGAGACTCTGAGTTAATCACCTTTGACAAAGCAATATAACTCGCTTGACCTAAATTGGACAACAAACAGCCATTGACGATTACCGTAGACCTCTCATCCCTATTATATATTTAAAAAATTATATTTTAATATATATTTGAAGTATAATACAAAAAATAAAAAATTTACCCTGTGCCAGGGCTCCCTAGGCGGCTAGGCCTCCACCCTCCGCTCCTGGGTCCCTTTTAGCATAAAGAAGAGTTGAGAGAGTTTTTAGTGAATTTCCATAAAGTTTCAAGAATGAAAAGCACTCTTTCTCGATAAGGAAGATTATTGATAGTAAATCAGAAATCAGAAACTCTATTGCTTACTTTTAAAATTGAATGGTATCCCTATATGAAGACTTAGAGGTAGGGATCGTGAATGGATAGGGCCACATTCACGGAAAACTAATGGGTATAGATTTGATTGGGTTTGGCTCAATTTATAAAAAATTGATTAAAGATGTTTTCTTTTGTATTGTTTTCAATCTCAGATCAGACTATATCAGACAAGACTTCCATAGTTATATAATACACAGAGACCAGACGTTTATTCTGGTATCTTTGGTGATGAAAACATCCCCTGCCATTACCATCCATATAGTTTATCTTCTTCTTCTTATTCTTTCAGCTCTGCATGTCCTTAAAATTGGGCTCTATGTATGGACAAGTACTGAAGCGTTTGAATGGTAATAATCCTTTAAAATTGCTATACGGACACAATTAACTATTGTAACCAAAAGTTTGATCACCATTTGTGATCAAGAAGGGTCTTGCTAGCTATATTTCTCTGCTTACAACTTCTCGAAGTTTCTGCCATCACCACCGCTCCGGGTTATTTGAGATTGAACGTGCAATGGTTTGTTCTTGCTTCAAATTAATGTGTCATAGTTATTGATGCTCCCTCGCTTATTATTATTGTCTTATTTATCATTGATTGTCTTAAAACAACCATGAGTTCTCCTAATATCATATTAATGAGGATGCATGCACAGATGTATTGTTATAAAATGGCTGGGAAGTTTGAATTACTATAGTTTATTATATTATTAGTAACATTGGTTCACTTTTATAATGGTTGTAAAAGTGAATATTCACTAATAGACATTACGTTTATAAAGATGCTCATTAGTAGTACGTATATGCTCATTTTACACGAAAATGAGTGTGAATAGAGTTAGAATGTCATAAAAGTATATATTGAATTACTATCTTGAATTATTAGTAAAATAGAGTTAGAATGTCATAAAAGTTGTTAAAGCTAATTGTATTATATAAAAGGATCATTTTATTATTAAGGCTGAAAATCTTAAGTAGTATTCATTTTGAATGAATACAAATAGTGATGTTAATGTGATCATTAACATTGGTAGGAAAAACGCATATGAGCATTGATATGAAAATCATAAATTTTTTTTATTGAGCATCAAGAAATTTTCATTGAACATCAAATCTCTTGTATTGAATATTAGAAACATGCAATAGAGTATCCAGGTATGTGCTCGATCTAGTATCCATAATCAACTCCTACGCAAATCTTATGTAATACGATACTTTTGTAGTATGCATTGATGTAGCATTTTAAAATGAGCATAGATCCAGTACCAAATTCTAAGTACTTCTTAGTTCTTTAGACAATAGAACGGCCGGTGTGAACGCATAAATTGCAGCAACATACAAAACTACACTAAAAATACAGATTCTAAGAGCAGGACTCATCAAAAGATGCCGACTTGTCTTGCTGCTCTGATTGTAGCTGGAGGATTCAAGTGTACTAGAAGAACAGAGAGATGGGTTCTTCTCCTTCTCCTTCTTCATAAAGGAGGAATATGATTCAATTTCTCCCTGGGTGAGCGCTGGCTTTAGTGACTGCCTGACGGTTTGGAAGTGTCGATCACACACAACAGTGGCTGAAATATCTTCTCTTAAAGCAACAATTCCGGCTTCTCTGCACAGCCCTTCCAACTCTGCCCCTGTGTAGAGATCCGTATTCTCAGCTACTTGCCTAATGTCAACATCGGCATCTAACTTCATGTTACGTGTATGCACACGAAGGATCTCACATCGAGCTTCTAAATCTGGTGGCGGCACATAGAGAACCTGAAGATATATGCAGTTATTACTGTGTAAGATAAAAGCAAGAGAGTTATGTCTAGAAGTATTCAAGAAAAATCAGCTAAAACTCTTGCGCGAAAGTTCACTAAAGCTCTTCTATTAGATTGTTTGACATCATCTAATCTGGGATATGCTATTTGGATTTTTAGCTCATCTGGTAAGGGTGGATTTGGTTGAAGTAACTAAGTTGCGGCTGATATATTGATGAAGTTACTGAAATATGGGGAAGCAATACTTTGAACATATTTTATTGGCAATATGAAAGAATAATGGACTCCGTAAAAAAAAAGCACCCAACTTGAACTTCACCAAACCCAAGCCGAAAATTACATGAAACCCTAGCTCACCAAAATGTGCGGAATCAAATAAATTAATGTTTAGAAAAAAATTGCCTACAAGGATGATACGCTGAAAAGAGTGGCCGCAGCCTAAAACAGCACTTTGTACATTTAGTCTTTCCATTGTTATCAATGAGATAAACTTGTGGATTAGAATCAAGGTTTATGAGCAGCATTCACAGCAATACTGAATGCTGAGAATGCCCGTATATAACCTAATATTTATGGGTGCGAATGCAACTTTAACCAAGGATACATTGTATCTAAACTAATGTGCAACTTTCCTTAATATTGAGTACTTGGTATTATTTTCCCACAGAATATATGTGCTCAAGAGTGCAAGTAAACTATGAAATAACTGATACCAGATCAAAGCGCAAGTAAACTATGAAATAACTGATACCAGATCGAAGCGCCCAGGTCGCATAAGTGCAGCATCAATTGCCTGAGGGCGATTGGTTGCAGCTAAAACAAGAATCCCCTGATGGATTGAAAGGAAGGTGTGTTTAGGTTGCATTACTTTGGCAAATAAAGAACAATAAAGGGATTTCTGATCACCTTCATTTGCTCCAGGCCATCCATTTCAGTCAAAAGAGTAGACAGAAGTCTCTCCCCAACAAGGCTGCTTCTGCTAGAACTTCCACCACTACAAGAGTAGATAGAAAAATAAACAAATATAGGATAAAAATTTAATAACGCATGTCATTTCCAGTCTGATAATAATTTATACTAGGAAGTAGAGAAGAATATTAAGGGCATGTTTACTAACAAAGATATTTTCCAATTTTCCAGAAAACTAGAAAACTGGAAAACAGAAAACGTGTTTACCAAAGAAAATTGCTGGAAACTGGAGAAAGGAAAACAGAAAAATGCATTTACCAAAACGGAAAAAATGAGATATGTTTCTCTTTTTCCTTAATGAATTGGAGAAGTGATTTTTACTAGTTTTCCAAATTTGAAAAACGCAAATGCTACAGTGCCGCTGCAATGAATTTGCATATTTAGGCCTAGTGGTGGATCCGGTCCTGCTCCGGTATCGGTTCCATTCCGGTCAACGACCCTACGGTCCCTATTTGGTCCGGTAAACGACCCGGCGGTCCGGTTCGGTTATTGACCCGACGGTCCCTGTCTGGTCCGGTTCGGTTATTGACCCGACGATCCCTGTCCGGTCCGGTCGACGGCCGAGCAATCCCGGTCCGGTCCGGTCGACGGCCAAGCAATCCCGGTCCGGTCTGGTCGACGGCCGAGCAATCCCGGTCTGGTCTGGTCGAAGACCCGACGATCCCGGTCTGATCCGGTCGAAGACCCGACAATCCCGGTCTGATCCGGTCGAAGACCCGACGATCCCGGATTCCCGGTCCAATCCGGTCGAAGACCCGACAATCCCGGTCCGATCCAGTCGAAGACCCGACGATCCCGGTCCGATCTGGTCGAAGGCCCGACGATCCCGGTCTGATCCGGTCGAAGCCCCGACGATCCCGGTCCGATCCGGTCAAAGACCTGACGATCCCAGTCCGATCCAGTCATCCAGTCGAAGAACCGACTATCCTGGTCCGATCCGGTCGAAGACCCGACGATCCCGGTCCGATCCGGTCGAAGACCCGATGATCCCGGTCCGATCCGGTCGAAGACCCGACGATCCCGGTCCAATCCGGGCGACGACCCGACGGTCTCTGTTCGGTTCAGTCCACGACCCGATGGTCCTTGTCGGGTGCGGTCCACACCCCTGCGGCCGCATTTCGGCCCGGTCCACGCCCCGATGGTCCCTGTCCAGTCCGATCAATGACCCAACGATCCTTTTCCGGTCAGATCAATGACCCGACGGTCCCTGTCCAGGCCGGTCAATGACCCGGCAGTCTCGGTTTTTTTAAAATTCATTTTTTAAGTGAAGAGTTTGAATAGAGCATTGAGTTTCAACCAATAGGGAAATGAGAAAAGAATTTGTCACACTAACCGTTGAGATCGACCGAGACCGATCGGTTTTGGTCCCGACTATCCTATATGGGACCTGGTACCCTACTTGGGTTGTACTAGGTTTGATTTCGGAATGAGACCACACTTTCGGTCTTCTGGATGATCAGAATTTGATGAACATGTTTTCGGATTTGAAAATGAGAAAGTAAAAAATGAAAACAGAAAATTGGAGATAGAAAAACTGGAATATGAAAACAGAAGTAGAAAACTGGAAAATATCTCTGTTAGTAAACAGGCCCTAAAATTTGCATATGCATGCTAAATAACTAACTAAATAAATAAATAAACAAGTCATGTTCGAACAATGCATTACTTTTATTTACAGGGTGGGTACCGCGGACCTTTTGGCAGTGACCTCCAAGAGGATCCAAACATGTAACCCCAGAGAACATTTTGTTCCTGGATTCAAACTAGTTGAAACATGAACAACCCCTGAAGGTTAATGCAGAACTTTTTAATTTTACTTAGGTACTCATAAATCGTGAATAATATTTATAGTTGTCTATTTATTTTTTATTTAAACTAAATTTAACATATTACCATATGTAACTTTATGTAACATTATTTTTTAAAAATTACATGAACGATTTTCTTTGTTTGGTCTAAGTTACTCTTTTTGGGAGACAAAAAGAGTTCGAAAGAAACTTTTTTGGGATGAAGAAATATTTATCCTGGTGTACACATTTGCAGTGTTTTATCACAGTGTTTTAATAATCGGCCTAGTTAGACATGCAGACGCCTCTTGAGCAATTCATTTCTAAGCAGATTAGGAAGCCAGAGTGCTCTTACATAGGTTAGCTGCTCGTTTAGGCACACTAGGCAAGCTAAGCATCACTCAAATGCCTGGCTACTGCCTAAGCAAATCTCAGAACATTGGTTTCTCCTAGTCATCACTGGAAGTAAGCAACTAATTCCTAGAAATTGAAGCTCAATTAAGTCACATTTACATAAGGGGAACTTTTTATCCTGCGCAAATTACCGTTTGGCAGCAATGACATCAGCTTCATCAAAGAAAATAATGCTTGGTGCTGCAAGTCGAGCTCTTCGAAATGTATTGCGCAACAAAGCTTCACCTTCACCGACATACATTGAATACAATTCTGCACCACTGGTGCATTATCATTAAAATAATATGAAAAAAGTTGCAATTCTCATAAAGAACATAAAAAGTAAGGTTTCTTATCACATACCTCAACGAAAAAAAGGAAGCCTGTGCAGCATGAGCAGCAGCTTTTGCAAGGGTGGTTTTAGAGCACCCTGGAGGTCCATGAAGAAGGATGCCATGAAGAGGTGATACTCCCAACTGCGCAAATGCTTCAGAATGCCTTAACGGCCACTCTACAGCTTGCTGTAGCTTTTTCTGTTCCATTTATCAAATAAAAAAGTTATATATAAAGATATTTAGCCCGAGAGAGTGTTTGGTGAGGGTTGTTAGACCATATATGCTGAACTTTCTAAAAGGAAAGGCACATACAAATCGATTTCAGCCAAATACGTATGTCAAAGGCTACTTATTCTGACTATTCCGCTGAAAGGAGAATATACAGAATAAGCCTATCAACTTTAACAAACAGGGTCCGAGTAAGCTAACAGGTACAAACCTTTATGCCTTGTAGTCCTCCAATATCCTCCCAAGAAACCTTTGGAATTTCCACAACTACACCTCTTGTTATACTAGGACCAACAATAGATTTGGCATGCCTCCAGTCATCCACTGTTATGTTCCAAGAGCAATCTACTTGATCTAATTCTGAAGATTGTCTGACAGCAGACATAGTAGCTTCGCGGCATAAAGCTTCTAAATCTGCCCCAACATAGCCATTACAAGAGGCAGCGATTGACTGCAGGTCAACACTGGGGTCCAATGGAAGCTTCTTAGTGTAAAGCTGCAATGTGTCAACATAAAATACACCATCACTCAACAAAATCTCCATAAAACTTTAACATAAAAAATTGTTATTGTTGTTGAGGATTTATTAGACTTGACAGCCCAGTTTCAATAAGTCCTACAAGATATATTTTGCTCTTTACCCATCGATCCTTTTTGTCGAGTATTAATCACAAGCTGGACATATTATGTGTATTCTCGTGAAATTTATAGCTTCTGTCCTCTTCATTTTTTGTTTTCTTTACAAGATTTTGTGTTGTTGTATCTTTTCTTTGACCTTTGTATGTTTCTTGTATTAATATATTTTCTCAGAATTTTGACAAAATAAAAAGCAGGTGCCTCCTAAATAATAAGGTGAAGTTCATAAGAATAATCCATACGTTTATGGATTCTATAATAATAATCCCTACTCAAAGTGTCCACAAAAATAATCCGAACTAGCTATGGTATTCATAAGAATAAATTGGGGTGAATTTAAATTAATGCTAGTTTAATACTTTCAACCTTTACTCCCACTTTTCTCTTCCCCGCTCTTCTTCTCGGGGATAATTCAAACTAAACATGTTTGATATCAACACCATTCCCGCCATATGTGGTTCTCCCTAGGTTGGAACATAAAAGTGTTAACCGAGACGGAGAGTGGAGAATGGGGAAATAAATGTAGGGACTGAGTATTAAAAAGACATTAGTTTGAATTCATTCCAATTTATTCTTGTCGACACTATTGCTAGTACAATTATTTGTATGGACACTCTTAGTCGGGATCAAGGTTGTCAAAAGCGCTCGCCTCAGCGCTCAAGCGCACAAGGCGCAGCGAGCATACCCCCCAGCGCTTGGAAATAGGTGAAGCGCACGTACCTGGGTAAGGCGCATGAAGCGCATCAAGCGCTGCAAGTCGCACGCCTGGGTCGCCTGAGCTGGAAAAGGGCTGACAGCCTTTTTTTGTTTTAAACTTTCAAATACAATTAGCCCATATCTTTAATAACACTAAACCCATGAAAATATTTGGGTAAAAACAGTAAAACCGACGTAAAACCAAGAGTCTATATAAGTAAACACGTAAAACTTGCGCAAGACACTACTGCAATCATCGCTAGCCATCCTCACTCTCCTCACTTGAAGCTGCTCTACACCAGCCAGTTCTTTAAGCTTTCATCATCATCTCAAGCAAACTCAGCTCTCCCTCTCAGCACTAAACAAGGTATGTTTTCTTTTTCATGCAGTCCTCTTCATCCAAATACTCATATTACACTAGTGTCTAAATATTAGCGTAAATGTGTAATAAAGTAATAATACTACGTATTAGTATATTAGTATGTATATAATACTCATATGTGCTCTGCTTTGTGGTTTTGTAAAGATATTACTCTATAATCTTTCAGAGTATATTAAGTTCTTAACTTTAAATGCATTACTCAGTTCTGTCACTCTTGTGTTTTATAAATATTAAAGATATTACTCTGTTTGACCCAACTAGAGTAAAACATGGCTGTTAACAAAGGGCTGAGTATAACATGTTTTTCAAAGTTGATAACCACCTTTTACAACACACAAGATGACAAACACAGATGGAAAACTAAAAGAACATGATAAACACACAACCAGCTTTCTGTTTTTCCATTATTGAGCACCCATATTCGAGTGTTTGGCCCATAAATATATTATATATGTACTCTACTTTGTGGTTTTCCAAATATGTTTTCCAGTGTATTAATTATTAAATAATTCCAGCTTTGTACTTTTCCAGGATATGGAAGGTGGAACAAGTGCTGCAGGTGGCGCTGAAAGTGAAAACTCTACAAAAAAGACCCAGCTTGGAAACGCAATTACTTGGCTAACAAAAAAGATCCTAATTTTTGTGAATCATGACTTTATTTTGAGCAAAGTGGAGGGCGGGTATTCGTGTGGATGAGTGATATCGTATTATCTTTTCCCCTCTTTTTTTCCTTTTTTTTTCTTTTTTTTTTCTTTTTTTTTTTTGTCTTTTTTCTTTTTTCTTGTTTGTTTTTTATCCTTTTTTGCTTATATATATAAACATTATTTTTATGCTTTTTATTTTATCATTTTTGGGTATATTCATCTCTTTTTATATTATCTTTTCCATAATAGCTTATCTTTTTATCTTTATTTTCTTACTCTTCCTTTTGGTGGTGATATCTTTTGGGACTAAGGCTTGGATGTTGTTGTTGTTGTTGCATGACTTTATTTTGATGAATCCTAGCTTTTTTATGCATTTGGTTCAATATGATGTTACATACATCATATTTGGTAATTATAGAACAGTATATGTGATTTTATCTAAGTAGTGCGCTTCACCCGAGTCAGGCGAGCGCTTTTTTGCGCCTTGCGCCTCAGGCGCTGGGAATACCCTATCGCCTTGAGTGCGCCTCACGACTTTGACTACCTTGGTCGGGATTATTATTGTAGAATCCATAAAAGTAGGGATTATTCTTGTGAATTTCGTCAAATAATAATAAATACTCCATGATGAGCACCATACATTGAGGATATGAAAGCGTTCATCTTCATTAGGGGTTGTGACTTCAATCTCAGCATCAAAACGCCCAGATCTTCTTAGAGCCGGGTCGAGTGTGTCAACCCTGAACATTAATCGCAGAAAACATTCATCTTAAAAGACTTGCAACCAACAATCTATATGGTATTAAAAATAAACATTTAAAAGACAGTATACCAATTACAGATGGCGTAATTTGATTCAGATATCATAGTATGGTTGAAAAACTTAACAGTTTTTTTATTCAAAAAGAGATTGTTTATCCTTCACCACAGTGACAAAAAAAACTTACTGATTTATTAAAATAAAAAACGGATGTATGGTTGTAAATTAAAAATGGTGTATATTATTAGCTCAGACACTACAGTATGGTTGTAAAAATCAACAGTTTGTTCGATTCAAAAAGCGACTATTTATCCCTCACCATAGAGAGAAAAACTTTAGTAATCCCACCCTCCCTGCCTGCCATGAATAAAACATATTAAAGTTGTATTTCTTTGGGTATGAGTTCATGGCATATCAACATCTTTGTAGTTAAAATAATATAAACATATAAAGGTTGGATTTCTATGAGTACGGGTTTATTCCATATCAATAATTTATAGTGATTGTAAAATAACAAAATAGGTGATACCCTTGAAAGCAACACCACCAAATTACTATTGACCTTCAATAATAAAAGATAGAATAATAATGCTTTCTTTTGCAATCCACATGTCAAAAAATATCCTAAATTGGAATAGTATCGGGGGGTTTGATTTGCCAAATTGCCATTACAGGTTACTTGAGAGAATGATGGAAAAAAGGGTTTCTCCGTCAAGAGTAAATCGCATTTACTAATATATGGAACTTAAAAGTAAATAAAAATAACCAAAATGACCTCTTTGTACTTTATTTGAATACAACACAAGAAAAAATGGAAACCAAAAAGTTACTTCCCTGAAACATCAGTAGAACCCACCTATTAGTTGATGCCACTACAACAACATGTAATCCAGATGTTGAAACGGACTTATTAGAGTCCATCAACATAAAGAGCTGAGAAGCTACACGTACATCTTGTTCTCTTCTGCGATAGCAAACTCACCAAGTATGTTGAATGAAATATGAATATGAAAGTATTATGTGCAAGTGCAATAATCTATGAAGCACGGAAACTTCCAACGGCTCATGCCTCCCCGCTCCGCAAACTGGAAAGCGTATCAAAAACTCCAGAACTTCAAATTCCCGTTTGAGGGGTGTTTCAATAATTAAGAAAAATTGGAAAGCTTGTTTCCCAAAATAATAACGTTTAGGAAATTTTGGATTTCCAAGTATTTTTCTTTTTGATGGGATCCATTGACGGAAAATAGTGCCTTTCCAAAACTCTGGTGAATTTTTATAAGATTTCTTCCTAGCAAAAGAATAAAGTAAGAATGATTTAGAGTCACACAAACTTCACCAAATTTGGTATGGGACAATTTAAGTGGGATTTCCCGAAAAGGTAAAATGGGACAATATTAGCGGGACAGAGGGGGTAATAGTTTATAAACTTGAATACATAGTCTTTAGTTACTAATGGTTATCAAACAAAATTATATGAAATAATGTGCATATATATAAACGAAAAAACATGTATACATATATAAAAATATTTATACATATGTCCTCATGTTTTTTAAAATTAGTGTGTTTTTCCCATATTTTGTGTCATGTATTTTTTTAGAAACCATATTTCCGATTTCCATACTACTCAGGCAATGACAATGTTTGAAATTGCGTTTTGCAAGCTTGAGGCGGTTTCTTAGCATTACCTATTGTGTAACCTCATTGTGCAATTTCAAACGATGGGCAATAATACATTAAGAAAGCATTAAGTGATACAAGTTTGAGATAAAGTTAAAACTCATGGCCCTGGAAAGTGTATTAACTGGAATGATTACCTAGAATCACGACGAGGGCATAGTACATCAATTTCGTCTATAAAGATAACAGATGGCTTCCCAAGGTTTGCATGAGACGATGCTTTTGCAAATGCTTCTCGCAAAACTCTCTCGCTTTCTCCAGTATGTGCTCTATGGACACTGTGTGGGCTACAGATGCACCACAAAATTAATGACATTTGGGATTCATGCCCATATATTTATCACAGCTTCTCATATGGGAAAAGAGACAAGGCATTCACATATGACCCACAAATATTTTCTTGATATCTCCCAAAGCAACTAATGTGTGTCAAGTTTCTTCATAAGCTATGTAACGTTTTAGCATAAATATCTCCACTTTAACATCATGATAAGCAATGAAACATTTCATTAACTCCAAAATGTACATTTTATTTCTATGATTCTATCACTAAAATGTGCCCATAACACTACCTTAGTCCCGAAAAAAGTCACCATTGTAATACTAGGATCATTATTTTAAACACGAATTACACGACTCTATTCTGGGGAGGAATGAGTACTTAGTCTCTCATCTGCTTAAAAATAGAAAATAAAGCTTGCTAGGGGATAGCTCTATATGTATAGATCTAAAAAACCAAACATGACACACATAAAACATTACAATATGTAGTACCTAATAACAGTCAAATGTGCTCCACATTCTTGAACAACTGCTCTAACCAAACTTGTCTGCAAATCCAGTAATACATTATTGGAACAATATTTGAGAAATAGATCCCTTTTTCTCACAATGCAAATGGTGATCAAGCTAAGAGATAGATAGCCAAGAGAATAAATGTGTATCTACCTTTCCAGTACCAGGTGGACCATAGAGCAACAAGCCACGAGGCCACTATAAGAAGACAATGAAAGATACCCACAAATAAACAAGTCTATCAATATTATTAGTGAGGGGAACTATACAAAAACATTTGTATCCAAATTACTTTGAGGCCAATCTTTTGAGACTCTTGAGAATACAGGAGTGGATACATAATGAGTTCCCGAAGAGCACGGACCGCCTCTGCATTTCCAGCAATGGCATCCTCAGCCATCCACTCTCTGCCTCCAGTTGTACTTCCATTGCTGCTTTCCATTAGAAGCTTTATTGTATGTTTCTAAATCGTTCTTCCAAATAGGTTTTCAAGGCAGCTTTTATGGTTTCAGGATTGGCAAATGAAAACCTACAGCAGAAATTACAATGTCACGGTGGTGCAGTCGGGACAAATAAATAAAAAAACACAAACTAAATCAAAGGAAACCACTCAGATTATTTTCAAAACACTACAATAGGTAAATTAATACTCCGAATTAACATGATAGGCTCAGGAACCGATTACTCTTCCAGAATTTGTTGACTGAGACAGGGCCTTCCTGTTTGTCAGGACAGAGCAAAACTCTTTGACTTTTTTCTCAATTTTTTTATATTTCATACTTTGTCATAGTATTGAATATGATAAAACTATGTTAAAAGATATAATAATAATAATAATAATACCTTTCATCTGATAAGTTGCATATATAAATAAAAATAGCACCACAAATAACAATTAAAGCTAAAACATAAATGTAAAATTTAAAAACATCTTTCATACAAGATTGTGAAGCAAAATCGTCAATCATAGCTTCAAAATCAATCTCTTCAAGCGTCTCATGCTGGACGCTTAATATTAGTAATCCACTAACCTTTCTTGAACATAGTTGACCGCAAATAATAATGCATTGGCATCTCATTGCTAATTGTTTAATCTAAACTGTAAATTCAAAAAATCTAGATTATTAAGATTAATATTGCTGGCTCGCGAAACTGGTGCTTTCAATTTTACATATGTAACTACAATGGAATTTGATTTAAGTGTGCAAGTAAATAATTGGTTTTCTTTTAAAAATAATACTCCCTCCGTCCCCCTTAATTGTCCCATTTTTTCATTTTTGGATGTCCCCTATTATTGTCTCATACCATATTGGTAACATTTGTGTGGCTCTAATTCATTCTTACTTTATTCTCACTTTATCAACTCATTAAGTCAGTATGAACCACATAATTCTACTTTTCTTAAAAACTACCTCATTCTCTTCCGTCCCAATATTAGGGGGCGGAGGGAGTAATACAATAATGCCATCTATGTTGCACGGAAGTGTAGGAGGCGTGCTGAAATGTGAAACAGGAAACACCATCTTAAGGGGCGGAGCCATAACCAACATTCAGGGTGGACCGGAGGTAAACTAAAAAAACGCTATGTCAAAATTTAAACTAGTATATAGTTCGAATAAAATGATTAAAATTCATCAAATTTATATTGTAGTAGGTTTAAAAAACGAATGCAATGATTTTTCATTTTTTTAGAGCGGCTGAAATATTTGGAATTTCAATGAAGTTTTTATTTAACTCTTGTCCGTTTTGTGTACTTGCGGGCTTCAAAACGAAGCAATATTATTTTTGCCTTTTTTGAAGTACATTTGGTAGTCATACCTGCTTAAATTGATAAAAACTAATAAAATAATCAGTATATAGAGTACTATTTTCAATCACATACGTAGTACTACGTATGTTTTATTAATATGTTAAGAAATTGACCATCCTAATTCTCAATTTCACAAATGAAATTAGAATACGGAGTATGACAAATGATTCACCAATCGTAAAACATATTGACATGGTTAAATTCACATTAGCGAAACACTTAAAAACAAAAACAATTAAGCACTCAAACAGAACATTGAAAAATCAAGATAGCAATTTTTAAGATATTAGCTATGTACGTAATTCAAAATAAAAAATAAAGAATACCACTTAACTAACCTACTAGGCCGCTGGGGTTGTTGAGCCGATGAGCTGAACTGCAGATGGCAGCCAAAACTCCGAGAAGCTGAGAAGTGAGAAGAACTACCAGGCCGCAAAGCGGGTGGGGCGCGGGGCTGGGGCGGGGTACGTGACTGGGTGAGGCAGAAATCTATATTATATAGTAAAACAGAAAAGTGTGGGGGAGTTTTGGCGGGATTTTGGGCGGGATAGTGCACCATCTTTAAAGCAATTCTACGTTAGCACTCCTAAAAGGTATTAGAAGACAACCGCACAGAATACTAAAAAAGCTTTATTGAGTAGAGGAATAATAAATGCTAGAGCAATAATTGAAGTAACTTTTTAAATTCCCAACTATATAGTATATACGGAGTACAATTTGTAGAATAATAATTGAAGTGACTTATAGAATCCCACTAAAACACAATTTTTACAAAAGAGAATAATACTCCGTAATAAATTGGAGTGATCTTCAAAATGACTATTGAAATTACCAATACCACATACTCGGTATTTATTGTCTTGGTGCAGGATAAGAGTATAAGACCATATATATGTATATACGGAGTAGTATATATAACGAGCAAAGAGCACACGGAACCTTCATCAAGCTACTTTAAGCTACTTCAAGATGGAGAACTGTCAATGTGTCATTATCAAGTAAGTGTTATGAGAAGGCATGATTGTATCCAAGATTTGTATGCTTAAAAATAGGTATGTATTTGTAATATCAGAATTAGTTCTGTATGAAGCGGGTAAGCAACTTGAAATAATATTGTTTGCAAGTATAAGCAACACAGATTGGATTTAAAATGTTTAAGAAAAAGTGGCAAGTCGCTATGCTCAAGTGAATGATAATGAGTCTTTTTCGAAAGGATAAAAAAGACATTTATTACAACTATTACCTATGAAAAGTAAAATTTAGTATTATTAAAATGAAAAGGATGCATGTTTAAATCTATAGTTTTTGTTTGATGTATGTAGGTATATAGGTTTCTATTAGCTTTCAATTAAAAAACACAGATTCACTTTCAGGCATCTTTTGAGAGAAGAAATATAGATTCACTTTTTGAGTATATAATATAAGTATAGGTCTGTAAGAAGCGAGTAACCAAGGGTAAAAAGGAAACTTTTTATGTAATTATAATTGCATAAAAAGTAAAAATAATAATGCATGTGTATGAATATAAAACACAAATTGCACGCTAGATATATTTAAGAAATAATGGAAAGTCACTTTCGCTAATAAATGCTAATAGACATTTTTTTGGAAAATAACTGTGAAAAGTAGAATTTAGGTTATTAAAATGAAGTGGATGCATGTTTCAAACCGTAGATATGTTTTCTTAAATATAATAGTATAGGTTCAATTCTTAAAAACATAAATATTTCAAATAGTTTAATTTGGAGCTTTGTGTAAATTACTGTTTAAGCTTTAGATGGTTGAGGGATTTATACCTTCTACTCATTGAAAGTAGCTTATTTTGCATATCTTAAGCAACTCCATCGTTTGGCAGATCTGCTAGGGGGGAAAGATCAAATGGTGACACTTACAGAGAGTGAACAATACATGAGAAAAAGAGTTGTGCATATCATCAGTGATAAAGGTAAAACACTAAATTGATTTATGCAGAATCACACATTGTTGACAGGTTACTTTTTGTGGAATCTATGTTTTAAGCTGATACAATGCAGCTTAAACTGTACATGTTATTGCCGATTATAAACTTTACCAACATTTGAAGTTACAAGCTCAAACCGTGAAGATTGAATTCTATTATTTCAAGAGACATATAGTTCAATTTAGTGTTATATAGATATATGGGTACTGTGGTGTGTAAAAATGTATGTATGGGTGATTATAAATTGTAACAAAATGAGATGTTTACAAGTTCAAACAGTAAAGATTGAACTCTGTGAATACACTTCAAATTAGAGCTATAACAACTCATTTTTAATCTCAGCTCCATAAAACATGTATAATTATAAAATAATGTCTTAGAATAGATATATCTATGATTTACAAAAAATCTACGAAGTATTAAGCATTAAAACACTTTAACATGATTTCATATTACATATATATATATATATATATATTACATACAACGTATATTACATATGAATTAGATTAATATTGTTATAGATACTATAGTAGTTAATTACTACAGTTAGTACCTTTCATTATATGTAAGCAGAGTAATAGACGTGTGGCAGTGTAAACCCTCCATTTAGAACCTTTGATTGAAAAGAGATTGTCCATGCATGAATATTAATTAAATTTTAAATAATGATATCTTCTAGAGATTACCCATGTAGATTATTTTGAATTCAAGACTCAAGCTTTAACTGTGCTCAAGCCGCCGTATAGAGAAACCGAAATAGACATGCACCACCTAGGTCTAAATATGAAAGGGATAGAAGTTTGGCATAAATTAGGGGATCAATTGGGAAAATACCGGAACTAATCAATATAGATAACGAGAATGATGGAGGAATACCGGGACTACGGAAGGTCGGAAGGTGACTATTGAGAAGGGCGGATTGGCCGAACCACCGAAGGGCCGGTAAATGGCGGAGTGCAGGCGACCGGGTGACGGGCGTGAGGCGAGAAGGAGACAACGTGCTGCGTCCTGGAGCTGGCCGGCGGGAGACGCCGTGAAGTGAGTCGGCAACTTAGCCGGGCGTTGGACACTTCGGCCGTTCAAGTAGACAGATACGTAGTACTAGATGTCGATGAGTTAGATCCAATTTTGTCTACTTGGCTTCCTGAAGTCAAAGTACTACACTTTTGTTAATTTTGGGCTTTTGTTCAATTGGACTTAATAAACTTTAAATTAGGCTGATTTAGGGGCCCAAAAGGTTTTATTTTTTTGGCCAGCGGCCCCCACCCTTGCTACCCCTCGGGCCGAGTTTTGTAATTCTATTTCTACTATGGGTATTGAAGAACGAAAAAAACTTTTACACATGTTTATGTAAGTTAAGTTTTTTTGTCTGTACGACAAAAAAATTAAGTCGTGTTTGTAAAAGATCAAGATTATTAGAAATTAGTCAGATTAAGGAAAGGACAGAATAGAGATACTAATTAGAATGGTGCAGTTGACTGGTGAAGGATGCAGTTGATTGAAACGCGCCTTCGAGAGACAATGGTGGTTTGTCTGCTTCGTGAATGTGGAAGAAGTGTGTTGGGCAAACAAGGGGTATATTGTGCACATGGAAAAAGGAAAGTAATTGGGGGTAAAAGGATGGAGGTAAATGAGCGTTTCTTTTTCCTTTTTACGAATGTGTAAGAGCCTATTTTAGATTTTCGCCTGGAGTTGGATAAAAATAAGGTTTGAGAATATTGATTTACTATCACAATTTAATATTGTAAAAAAATGGACCAAGAACATTTTTTTATAATTTAAAGCTTATATAAGATTTTATATGCTTCTAGCTATATTAAAATAAAATAGTCAGTTTGAAATAATATGCATTTTTAATTAATAATGCGGGAACTATAATGAGGATAATTATAAATCTAGCTGAAAAGTATACTCCATATAAAAAAAGTCTCATGAGATAGCCTAATACTATGTAGTTCTTTATGGATTATAGTAGACTGATTTCAGTGTCAATCTCGAATTTGATCAAACCAGATCAGAGTATATTGGTCCTTATCAGACTTAGTCAATAATAAATTCACATAGAATAGATATTTACCATATCAAATGATATCATATAAAAAAATTAGTCCTATGAAAAACATCTTTAATCAAATTTTAAAGAGGTTATATTTTAATCACACATGTTATATTTTTTCCACAGTTAAACAAAACAACGGTTTTTTTAAGGTATTTTTTCTAGACCAATACTGTGAATGTAATTGTTTTAATAATCAACATATGGTATTCTTGATTATTTTAATAAACATAACAATGTTTAGTTTCTATTTTGTAGTTTCTATTTTGTTTTTAAAAAGCTTCTATTTCAAAAATATCAATTTCAAAGTAATTTACTGATTGGTACCACATATATTAACCACTGCTATGATTTGTGCGAGTGTCGTAACTGATGATCAGAGAGGACGAAAGTGCTTACATGTGATTTGTAAGGGCGAAAAGGCTTAGAGACAAACAATGAATGTGATGATGCTCGCCGATCATTGGGGATGAGAAGGTTGAGAAGGCTATGCCAATTCAGCATAGATGAGATTAGGGCTCGGGAAAGTATTTTATACTTGGGTTTTGGGTTGAGTTTGGGTTGTGGGATTTTGTTCTCTAGACATGTCAACTACTAAGGCTCTGTTTGCAAGTGATTGTGCTTAAATAAAAGCACTTTTTGGGAAAAAGTGATTAGTAGTAAAAGTTGGTAGTGTTTGGTAAAATAAGTGTTTTTTGTGTAATAGAAAAAGTAAAAAGTAGATTCTACACGAAAACCGAGAAAGTAAAAGTTGGTATTGTTTGGTAAAATAATTGCTGTTTTCTTAAGAAAAAGCCAAAAGCACTTAAATTAATTGTTTGCAAACAAAGCCTAAAAAGATTTTAAAAAAGATGTTTACTGCAGAGTATTTTACATGAAATAAATTTTCATGACATCGTAAATAAATATTTTTTTGTAAAATAATCGGTATGACGGTGGTTTGATGATATTTATATGTGACATATGGAAAAAATACCACCATAACGTTCAATGTTGTATTGAAGGATGTTTTTCGAAATTTGTAAAGCATTTATAACATTCATCTTTTAAAAAACTTTTATTGTGAAAATATTTTATTTATTTCTTTTTTGCTAGATGTATATTTACAATTCATATTACTATATTACGAAATTTGAGTTCTTTTGTACTAAAATTAAATTACATGTATTATTCATATTTTTCAGAAACCTACTTTTGATATGAGAATTACACTTCCCGTGCATCGCACGGGTATAATACTAGTTGGGAGAAAGGGAAGATTTTTCTTTGATTTGGTCTGCCCAATGGGCTGGCACTGGCCCAGATTATTTTTCCATTCGGCCAGCTGATATTTTTGTTATTCTTTTAATATACTAGGCCCCAGATTATATATTTTTTTATCGTCAAAGTGCTTTAAATTAATAAAATAACATTCAGCAGGGGTACAAGATAACAAAAGGATCACATGCAACCATCCTCTCTTGGCCGAGACTCTGAGTTAATCACCTTTGACAAAGCAATATAACTCGCTTGACCTAAATTGGACAACAAACAGCCATTGACGATTACCGTAGACCTCTCATCCCTATTATATATTTAAAAAATTATATTTTAATATATATTTGAAGTATAATACAAAAAATAAAAAATTTACCCTGTGCCAGGGCTCCCTAGGCGGCTAGGCCTCCACCCTCCGCTCCTGGGTCCCTTTTAGCATAAAGAAGAGTTGAGAGAGTTTTTAGTGAATTTCCATAAAGTTTCAAGAATGAAAAGCACTCTTTCTCGATAAGGAAGATTATTGATAGTAAATCAGAAATCAGAAACTCTATTGCTTACTTTTAAAATTGAATGGTATCCCTATATGAAGACTTAGAGGTAGGGATCGTGAATGGATAGGGCCACATTCACGGAAAACTAATGGGTATAGATTTGATTGGGTTTGGCTCAATTTATAAAAAATTGATTAAAGATGTTTTCTTTTGTATTGTTTTCAATCTCAGATCAGACTATATCAGACAAGACTTCCATAGTTATATAATACACAGAGACCAGACGTTTATTCTGGTATCTTTGGTGATGAAAACATCCCCTGCCATTACCATCCATATAGTTTATCTTCTTCTTCTTATTCTTTCAGCTCTGCGTGTCCTTAAAATTGGGCTCTATGTATGGACAAGTACTGAAGCGTTTGAATGGTAATAATCCTTTAAAATTGCTATACGGACACAATTAACTATTGTAACCAAAAGTTTGATCACCATTTGTGATCAAGAAGGGTCTTGCTAGCTATATTTCTCTGCTTACAACTTCTCGAAGTTTCTGCCATCACCACCGCTCCGGGTTATTTGAGATTGAACGTGCAATGGTTTGTTCTTGCTTCAAATTAATGTGTCATAGTTATTGATGCTCCCTCGCTTATTATTATTGTCTTATTTATCATTGATTGTCTTAAAACAACCATGAGTTCTCCTAATATGTCTTGAGCACCAGAGAGCAATTCTTTGCTATAACAAATACACACTATACTTCTAGTCTAAAAACATTCTTACTTCTATTCTGAAACTGAAGAACTCTTCTTACTCATGTACAGAACTTAAACTTAACTTAAAATACTTACTTGGAAGATGATGAGCACGTGTACGATGACAAATGAAGTTACGGGACAACCTGGGCTCTGATACCAAACTTGTAACGCCCCTCTCAGGGTTAAAGGAAACGTTACACTAACGTACTACTTTTAAAAAAAATAAACTGCAGTATAACGGCCGTCTATTGAAGAATAACCCTGATAAAATCTCATATATATCTAAAACAACTCCAAACAAAAACTTAATAAAATAGTTATCACCAGTAAATGTGATAACCACCTGGATCCAGGAATTTATTCAAAACTCAAATCCACCATAAAATAAAGAAATAATAATCTCTTTATTATAACAACTGAAATACTGAAATAAAAATAATAACTAGCTAGAAGCCACCAAGGTCGTTCCCGTTAACTCATTTTGGCACGCGTTCCACTCTCTCATCATCTTCCTAAGCCTTGGCCTTACCCTTAGTATTTGTATCTGTACATGCGAAGAAACAAAACTGATAAGCTTTACGCTTAGTAAGTCACTATTGGATCCACAAAAATATATAGAAGTCTATGCCAATTTATCAATAGATAAATTTAGGCTATAAGCAATGTACTGAACAAATAACCAACACACAACTTCTCAAATACATTCTGAGGGAGATCTCATAAGGAAAATATTTTCTAAAATAATTTCTCAAAACTGTCGGAGAAATCTCAAAATTTCTTTCTCAAAACATCTCTGTAAAACTTTCTGAAGAGATCTCAAAAACAACTTTCTGTAAAACTTTCTGAAAGAGATCTCATTGAACTTTCTGTAAACTCTTTGTGGCTAATTTTAACTATGGGCCCGTGATATGTACTCAATGGCGCCAATCCGACAGCTCAGGGGAGCGACCCACTAAACATATCGGACTATCTAAAACTAAAACTGCTAATCTGAGGGAACTAGTTCCCGAGTACAGATCACTTAATCTTTCACTTTAAGTATTAGTTCTTTTTATGGTGACGTTTGACTAAAAACATCATTAAATCTGGAAACAAAAGTACTAACAAATCTTGACCATGCCAGATAATAAACATAACTTAATCTAGCAATAAAATAACTCATCACATAATTCACATAGTTCACATAATAGCAGATAGTCTAAAATTATCTATTAAAAATCAACCAGACTTCTTTCTTGCATTTGGTTGAACAAACATGTATAGGTGGTAGTGAACTTACCTGTTAACCGCTGAACTCAAACTACTCAAACAAGTGTGGCGCCTTGGTAACGTCCTCCGGTAAGCTCTTCTCTTAAATCTTTAATTAGATATGATGAGAAGATTATAAATCTTTAGTCCGTATTAACTGTGAAAATTCTATGGCTCATAACTAAGGTAACTTTTATGCCACTGCCGTATACCAACTAAAACTAACTTCAATAAACCAAAAAGTTGAATAAAACTTTAAAATAAACTTGACTGATTATTAGGACTAAAATTAGTAGCAGCAGCCTTTTAGA